ACGTTCGTCAAGTAGCAGCCAACGGACGTTAGCGGCTAGAATTGCGTACGTTGTTCCGGACGGACGTTGACATTTCTTAGCCACTCATAGCGCGTAGAGCACAGGGAGTACTAGTGACGTGCGTTGAATTGACATTAAAAGGTGAACTAATTAGTGAAGTGCATGTACAGGAAACTAATTGAGTAAAATGTATTTCAAAAAGCCTCTCACGTTCTTGTAATGTCTCCGTGAAGAGAAATGTTTGTATTCTTTCCCGTAAATGTACTAGGATGTTTCGGGCAATTTCGACAATGCAAATTCTGCTTCTTTTAGACATCATCACGACATGCTTCGCATCACCAGAGTGTAAATAATATATCTCATATTCGAATGCCTCAACTATGCAATGCACAATACAAGCCAACTATAACCACAGCGCCTCTAGCGTTCCACGCTGCGACAGAGGAACACTATGCCCGTATAGCGTTCGTAATACCGCTTCGTTCAGCTAAACTGACCAAAAAGGAAATGTTCATGTATTTTAATTTCCTCTCTATAACAAGAAATAACTACATATACAACAGAAACTGTATTGAAATAGTTGATGTGAAGTTGAATTGAAGTAGCCTTTTGAATTACTGAAGGAAATAATTTATTTAAATTTAATTAATATTGAAAATTAATATTGTAATAATGTGGAGGAACAACTATTTCTTCACTTTTCTTGAAAATATCTCAAAACTGCTAATCTACAACATCATAAAACTAACACAAATATAAAACGAGAATCTTTAAACATGTTGAAGGGCTTGTCCAGAAAAGATAGTATGTGTGTGTGTATATATATATATATATATATATATATATATATATATATATATACATACATACATATATTGGTGTTTTCCCGAAAACTGCTCCAATTTTTTCTCAAATCTTTCTTCCCGGATTGTTCCAAAACTGCTAAATAAAAGGACATACATGCATTGATGATGTACTTTTTTTAGTTTTACAATATTGCATTACGTTTTTAAAATATCTCTCAAACCTTTAATATTAACATTACGAAAGTTTTCATTGATTATTGCATTTGTGAGAGGAAGAGCTTCAGCTAATTTCTGCTAAATCTATTTCTTTTCTTCCACTGTTGCTTCTTTTACTGAATCTGGAAATATTCAATTTTTTTGGAAAATAAAAAAAAACATGTTTAATTGAGGTAATACTAATTTTCTTGTGCTATTTAACAACTTTCTCTCACCTTGTTGGGTGTTTTGAAAAAGAGAAAAAAAACAACCGTTCTTTCTTTTATTGCTATTGCAGTTAGTTCAAAACAGTGTAAATTTTCTGACACACGTTTGTTATTAATATTTCAGCTGGAAAATTATAAGATTTGAAAGCAGGTAAAGTAATTTTATTCACATGTTTATAAATTTGTTTTGCAGATATCACCGTGTAAACAAACATCCTCCAAGAGCAATCACTCTTACTCTTTGAAACAGCTGTATTTTACTATACTCTTTGGAGCAACTCTCCACACTGGCTGATTACCTCAAAAGTCTTAGTGTATTTCTCTCGAATTATTTTCAAACGTAATGTGTATTTACGATTATTACGATGCAAAGTGCATTTACGATTTACCTTAATTGCTTAGTGAATACTGCCAATTAAGTGAATAATATATTTTTGTTTTGGATTGACTTGCAAGTTATACTCGATGTAAATCATTAACCTGTTCATGGTAGCACACAACCTCGTCGCAATGAGTTTCAACATCAATTAGGTATGTACATCAAAACTTCAATTAGTCATTTACTATGATCAGTGTATAATATCTTCATTTATACTTCTTGTGATACATACATCCGGGCATAAATTCAGTTCATTAATATCATACAATCATTGTAACTTATGAATGTGGTAGGTATACTTCAGTACTGAAATTGCTAGATATTTGTGATGTGTTACATTTGAATAATAGAATATTATATATTCATTAATAGAGTGAATATGTTTTCTTTAAACGTTCCAGCAAAACGTCAGCACTTAAACAAAATGCAAAGTGAATATGGAGGTAATGATTTGATGCTAAAAGAATCATTTACTTCATTTTATCATATGCCATTGTGTACGATTAATAATGTAAAGAATTTGTGGAGAAATTGATTAGTTTGTGATTTGAAAGAAAACATAAGCGCATATCATAAATTTTTATAGTTGTTTATCACCAACAAAATTAATTTTTATATTCATTACTGTGTGGCGAAGAATAACAACTATTCAAGACATTACTCAGAGATACAATAGGGAATGATGTTTGTTTTAATACTTCATGTCAGTAAACACTGAAGCTTTTTTTCTTACTAAAGTAGCGTTGCAGTGATGTTGCTTACATTGTGAATTTCAAGTACTCTCATCTTCTGTATAAAGGATATTGTATACATGTTTATATTCATAAAGTGTAGTTCCATATTTCACTTGCTTAGTGTTTGATTGGATAATTTTGAACAAGTAATTTTAATTTTATGAAGTGGCACTGTGCATTATATTTTATTACAATGATCCAGCACATTTGAATGAAGTGTCCAAAATATGGGAACAACCTAGTTCGTAAAGTGCTGTTTTCAACGTATGCTGATAGTCCTTCTTAATACCATAGATATTATCTAGGAAAATTACCTTACGTCAAATAAATTTAATGTAAAGTTATACATTAATTAAGTAAAAGTATATGGTTTGACGTTAAGAGTGAGTATATTCAGGAAGGGTATAATGTTTTAAAATATTTCCTAGATCTTATTTCAGTAAACAGTGATATTGATAAAATGGTTTTACATTTCCCATTTTATAAAATGAACAATAATTGTTATTACCGTTGAAAACATTGAGTTCGAACTACTACATGACAAGCATTGTACAGACTAGTAAGATCTTAGTACCATAAATATTCTAATTATTATATCATGTAGTGCTTCTCAACCGATATAATTTTTGAGGATGAAATGAGGTTTCCACGCAATCCCTATCTCTTGAAAATAAATTAAGCAAATTTAATCCAGAATTAATGCTGCTCACTCAAAGTATTACACAGAGGTAAGTTAGAAAAGCTAAATCCCTCTTGTCAGCACTATCTTACAGTACATCTTCGTGGAAATGTTTATATTTGTGGAATTTTCTTATCAATGGTATGCCAACATTCCCTCCACCTCCTCATATTGAGTGATGTAACAAGATGACTCTACACAGCGTAGACTTTTCCTCGTTGATTGATACAGGAAAGTTAGATCTTGTTATCAGTGGAAATACAAGTATACTTATGATGGATTATGTTTTTGTTCATCTGATAAGCTGGCTGCAATCGACTGCATTTTAAGACTCATTCCCCGATCACGCGAACGTTCTACTACGCATATATGATTTAGGTGACCAAAACCATTCAACAACCGTGTTAAATAGCGACGCTTAGAATGGCGCACTCTACTCTTGCACCTTCTTGCTCGAACGAAACGACAAACTGCTGTCAAATTGTTGATTGATTCCAGGTTGGTTCCATGATTATTGGTGTTTCGGGCGCCTCAACTGCTATGGTCATTATACCCGTAAGTGCAGCGTGCGTTTTATCGCGGGGGTGACGGTGATCTTCCCGGGCTGGCTGGCGAAATCCGGCGCCGACCTCCACCTCGACTCGTGTGATTTTGGCCCAACAAGACATGGCCTCTCCTTCAGCCCTTGCCGCCCGTCTCTTATAAACAAACAGGTCACTGACCGCGCGAGATATTTCTTTCCCCCTTCCGTGTTCTATCCTCACCCCTTTCTTACACACACTCCATGCACCGCACTATCACACATGCCTGGAGACCGGTCGGGAGCTCAGAGCTTGTCCCGGCAGGAGCGTTGCCCAGCTGGTGGGAGATACCTGGTTAGGGAAACTCCAATGGTAGCTCAGCGCCGGACCCCATCATCCAGTGGGGGAGATCACCGCTACCTTGAGTGAAAAAGCATACACTACTCTTACAGGACCTTAGCAGTTGACGCGTTCTAAAACACGAAATAATCAATTAAGCAGCGAGTAAATTCGTTCCTACAGATTACGCGAGTGGCGGAGTGTTCAGGAATGAGTTTTTGAATGAACTGCAATGAATAGTTTGATATTTTATATCACCGCCTGTGGCGAAGCCTTCGATTTGATCTGTTACTGTCAATACACTTGAGAATGACCCTTTTAACGTTGCAACTTAGGTGTTGAGAACAAGTTGCCGACCTCTAGTTCGTCCAAAGTGAACAAGCTGCCTGAATTCCTTTGCGGCCGTTACGTGTTCTGGGTGATTCTCACAGAGTCGTATAATGCTTTACACTGAACAAAACGGCGAATGAGGAAGAAAACTATTGATATGAGGAACAAGAATAGGAAAAACGTTAAACGGGAGAAAGGGAGGGTTAAAAGAGAGATGTAACACGTGACTTAAGTATGGTGACGATAATGGCGAACTTCTTTATTTTTATTTTTTAGCAATAACATAACAAGTTAAAATGTTACATTTCAGAAAGGTTATATCAGCTACATTAAAAATACAAGGGTCCATCTTAGAATTTATTATTTGGATCTGAGGAACCTGGTCGAACGAGATGGAGCCATTGTTCCAGGAGCTGTTGAGCATAATGTTGCATTTAGAAATAGAAATCCAGTAAAATACATTATATAATGTACCAAAGAAATTAAAATTACAAGAATTATTGTGAAAAATGTTTAGTTTCCGAAATAAAGTTTACAATTGATTTTCTGAGTCACTACTTACTAGTTTTAAATACGGTAAATTAAAAGTGTAGCCTGGTATCAAATGTTTATTTTGCTAATGATCGTTTCGATCGTGTAGTGATCATCCTCAGAGCTTGCAGCTTCCGGGCCGATCATTAGTAAAATAAACTTTTTATATCAGACAACACTTTTAATTTACCATATTTAGATCCATTATTAGAAGGTATCTACCTCACTAGCGATGTAATTAACTTACTAGTTATTTGCGTTATAGATCGTGCAGGTGGCCACTTCTCTTCTGGATCCAGTCCACATATTGAGATACTCGAGTAAAGAATGCCAGGTTTATTTCTTTTGCAAACGCGGAGACAATGCCGATCACCACTCCATCTTTGAAGAATGGTCCACCTGAATCGCCCTTCGATAAACACAAAAGCCTACTCAGATTTTCCAATGCATTGCTGTATATCCATATGTTATGGGTACCCCATCCAGTGGGTTTGGGAAACAAGTCGCCAGCGGAATTAAGATGTGGCATTTAAATTAGTATTTTAAACTAGCGGGGCTACAACAGTCCACACGTTTTCATATTATTTTTAACGGTTAAGTAGTATTATTATACTGATGAACCCGGCATTGTTTTAAATGTGAAAATAGCCTCAAACAGATTCTCAACTCATCGCAACTTGTACTCTACAATAAAGACTCTTGAGCCACCATGACCGGTCCAGTAATGCGTCAATTTAATTTTTCGTTTATTTCTATTTACTGTTCATTTCTGACCACCCTGCTACGGAGTAGAGGCCAGTAGTAGAACTTAATCTTCACTCAATTATTCGTTTCAAATATATCGCATTTTCCTATATATATTCCCAATTATTCGTTTCACATTATAATTACAATATTTTACATTACAAAGATGTCATTCTCAGATGTCATTTTACATAGCAAACATTAGGTTATTTGCATTACATTTTTTATTTCAGGAAAAATAATTCATTATTATTGAATTTTTGAAAATGTCTTCTAGGAATGTACAACCATTGTGTGCAAACAGTTGCAAACTAATATATAACATTTGCAATTAACTATTTGGGAATGTTGTGACTACATAATTATAATTTCTAAATTTTAATATTTCATTATTTTATTATTTTTGTTATGTATATTGTCCATTGTTATTTGATTTTTAAGTCTTGGAAAACATAAATTTTATAACTCAATATTTTCTATTTGTAAATTCTGTGAGGGCTTAGGACTAGAGGGAACTTCTCAAATTTTTGATCACTAAGATATACGAGTATTAAAAATATTATTTAGCACAGAAATTATTAGAGGTTAAAACATAAATAATTTATGATTTATTGAAAGACAAAGTTCTCGTCCCTGATGTATTTATTAATTGATAACATCGCTGTGTGACGATGAGAAAATTCACTTCTCAGGTTGAGAAGACCGAAATTCATCGTGGAGATGGCTAATCACACGTAGCCCCTTAACCAATGGCCGCGAGGCAGGGACGCTGCTGGTAACACTGTGGCCTGTATACTGACTGTCGCGCCAAGTACGGACAGAGTTGAAGGACAACTTTTTCAGTTCTTCTCATTTTCATCAGCACTTTTGGTGTTAATCGTGACATTATTCTAGAGATTGAGTAATTGTATTTTAAGTGAGGACATTTTTGTGAAACATTTTTCAACTGCAAGGCACAACGTATAATTCATATTATTCACTCTGATGACTGCCAGGCATCAAAAGCTTGCTATTTCTCTTTCTCGAAAAAAAAACAGTAATTTCAAGGTTTCACCGAAGTTAATAACACATTGAATGTCAATTGTGGAACTTTTTTTCCGTTGGTGACTCTAAGTAATCACTAGTTAGATATGCGAGCGAATATATACAGACTATCATTGAAACTCATGCAGATAATGCAGAAATTGACAAAATTAATCTAACATTAGTATTTTAGAAGAGAGTTAAGTGATGATGAGATACTAATATTGTATATTTTCCTAGGAAATTTATTGCAGGACATTAGAAAAAGACATTAAACTGGTTTATCATGGTTGTTAGATCTGACGGCAAATTGTAACGAGTCAGTGTTTCGTGATAGCTCACTGACACATCTGATGAAGTTTAATCTTGATAGTTTGATTTGTCTATAATTTTTGGTATACAAAGTTTTTTACAAGTCGAGTTGTTTAGACAAATATTGCACACACAGCTCAAAAATTAAATTACCCCAAGTGAAATGATCAGTATTTCAACAACGTCTGTAATAAATAATCTTCGATGTCATGATGCATTTTTCAAATGTAATAAAATCTTCCTCAAAACAAGGATGTATATTGCATTGAAGTTCAATGCATAGGATGATGAAGGTCGTTGAACCATTCAGATAAGAAAGGAATAAAGTAATTAATGGTATTAAGTGTGCCAAAGATTCTTTACATTAATCTGTTTTTTTTATTTTCTCCGTAAGTCAAAACTCTCAATTATAACAAATAAAAAAATAATAAAATAATTATGTTCAGTAGTGTCATTGCAATTGCGTATAAAATTATTTATGGTATTTTTAGTTATAAATTAGTTATTCCCATTGAAGATGATAGGGAATATAGTTAACTTTTGTGTTTTTCATAGAAAGTCGAAATTGTTACGTTTATGAAGGCAAATGTTCTCGCAATTTTTTGTACTCTTTATTTTTTCTCCGAATTTTATTGTGATATAATGTACGTAATTTCTACAGTAGGATCTCAACATCAAATTCTATCGAAATTGAGCTTCCTCTTCATTTCCCTAGCTCCTCGTCGATTGGGATGGAAATAAATGAAGTGCAACAAGAAAGTGCAGTTTCTGAAAGCGTACTTACAGGATAATTTTCATTACTCAAAACTCTGAATTGCTATTTTGAATTAATGTAGTTCTGACCACAAAGTAAATTATTAAATTGTATGATTTAAAGTGCCATAATAAACGTTTAAACATTTTGTAAAATATATTGATGGATTTTTTGCATTAAATAATTATAGACGTTGTCATTGCCAACAATATTATTTAATGTAAGAGCAGCTCTCGATGGCTTAGCCATTGGCTTAGCAATGACAACGTCTATATTAGCTATCGAAAGCTGCTCTTACATTAAATAATATTGTTGGCAATGGCAATGTCTATAATTATTTCATGAAAAATGCCAACGATAACACACCACAACACCTATATTTTTTTGCATTAGTTTACAATGAAAATCACCAATATATTCAAAACCGTCTTCAATATATTTCTCGAAAATTTGATTCATATCTTCAATTACGATCTTATCTGCTCCTCGATCCATTTCCGAAAAGCCGATACTCGCAAGAAGAATGAGTTGTATTCAGTAATCCTACACCAAATTCCAACCAAAACTCCATCTTGGACAAGCAGCCCGCCGGAATCATACTGTAAATCAGAAACAATTTCAAATCATCAGATCGTTAAATGATCATGCAATGTTTTCTTAAATTGCAAAATTGAAAAACGTTCCAATCATTACTTATTAAATTATTTAACTAAAGGTGCGACAACAGCACGTAATATCTCTCTTCAGTAATGCTCACGTAAAATCCTAATACCGTAATTTCTGTTCATGTTAAAATATGTCATTACATCGCGCTTTGCGCCCAATGTAAAATTTAAATTATTTAAAACTAATACATCAACACAAATTCCATTTAAAACCTTCTCAAGAATAAAAAGTTGTTCAGAAAATTTCATATTTCCATATCATGGTGCTTCCATTGTTACATCACAACATGATGAGTCCTCAAAAATTCTAGCAAAAGAAACGCGAGAAATTGCGTTGCGCAAAATTGTCCTAAACCACTCAGAATTTGGAAAAATTGTCTATTACCTTTTTCAAAGAACTGATTTTGCAGAAAGGATTCGAGTTAGTTTTATAAAATCATCTCGGATAACAAAATTGTACTTATGCAATGTTCAATTTTTGCGATTTTTGAAAATACAAATTTGGCATAAAAGGGACTGACACTTTTTCCTAACAGTTTCCTACTGAATATGAGGAGAAAAGTAAAATACAAATTGGACCCGTTTTGAGAAAAGTTTTTTTATAAAATGCATTAATTTCAAGAAAACATTACGCGAAAGAACTCTTTAAAAAATTGTACATTTTTTTTAATTATAAAATTTTTACAATGAATTTTCAATATTTTCAAACTTCACTGAACAAAAATCATTATTTTTATCATTGTACCTACACCACATTAATTTTTCGCAATTTTTAAAAATACAAAGAATTTGTTGGAAAGGAAACCAATATTAGTTTGCACATAGTTGTTAATTATTTTCTAAAAAACAATAAATACTATATGTAATGTATGGAGGAGACAGTCATCTGCGCACGTTTTTTAGTTTCCGATTAACTATAAATAATTGAAAGATGAGTAATAGTTAAAGATAAATATATAAAATTTAAAAAACCGCGATATTAGCAACATTTAAAATACTAGACATTTTCATTCCCGAGTTGTAGAAAATTTATTTGCAACAGTAAGCGAACAGCAGATTTGATTTTTCTGTATTGCTAACAAAACAGTAACTCACCCTTGGTTCTACTCCTTCCGCTACAACCAAAAGGAGAGTTCAACCAAACGGGCGCATAGTGAAGGTACGTTTATTTGTCAATGGTTTATAATGCCTACAGGTTTTAGAGATTTTATTACGACAAAAACGTAATGTGAGTTTCATTGGGATGAAATTGTGGGTGAGAGTGGAGTACAAGGTAAGGACGTGATTGGAGTATGATAGAGATAATGTTGTGGGTGAGAGTGGAGTACAGGGTAAGGACGTGATTGGAGTGCGATAGAGATAATGTTGTGGGTGGGAGTGGAGTACGGGGTAAGAACGCGATTGGAGTATGATAGAGATAATGTTGTGGTGGGAGTTGAGTCGATGGTAAGGAAGTGTTTGGAGTGTAATGGGGGATGAAGTTGTGTGTTGGTGAGTAGTACACGGATATATAGGGGTTTGGACGAATATGATCCTCACCACAGACTTTCCGGGGAATGGCTTGGTGCAGAGCAGATTATTATGCCAGTCATCCTTGTCCTTGAAATGCGTGATCTGTTTCTCACACTGCATTTGCGACAGAATTCTGTAGGTCTCCGTCTTGAGGTGCCTCTCGTCGTATTGAAGAATCTCTATCTCCTCTTCTTTTAACATCTCTGTCCTGCAGAATTGGAAAAACAGAGTGAATACTATTTCACTATGCACTGGTACTTGTGAGTTTATTTTGAAAACGGGTAAATTCGTAACTATTTGTAAGTTTTCATCTGACAAAAACTGATGCCACAACAGCAAGCATATTTTCACATCAGTAACTGTTACGTAAAATTAAATTTCTGAAATAGCTGTACTTCAACATCTTAGCTCTTGCGTGTAAAACATATTCCAAACCTTATCGCATTAACGTAAAGTATCAACACGAATTAGACACTCCAAGATTCGATTCTGTACACTGAAAACACCGCCCAACATAGTGATGTTATGTTGAGAATTTCAAATTACAGTTTGGCGTCATTACCATTGTTGTATTGCAACCTAGAAGCTCCTGTAAAAAATCTAATAAATGAATTCCGGAAAATTTGAAAATACATTTTCCAAAATTTGACATTACGCCAAATCGCTCATACTTTTATTTCAAGATCTGATTTTGAAGAAATTCCCTTCATTATGAAAAACATCTGCAGCAACAATATTGTAGTATTTTTTTCATTTTCTTCTATTCGGAAAAACGTAGAGCCGTTTTGAGGAAATGTTTTTTCTTCATAAATTGCATTAATTTTAAGCAGAAATTATTCCAAAAATCTCGTTTCTTTATCAAATTTTAATAACTTTTTCTATAGAACGATTTTTTAAAACAAATTTCCTTTTCGAAATTTCATTCTGCGGTATTTGTACTTGAGCAATATCATTCACTGCAATTTTTGAAATTACAGAGTTCGCCGAGAACGGTTGCAGCACCAATTTTTTAATATCATTTGTAATATATGTGTGAGGAGAAAATTTTTAAAAAATTGAATCTGTTTTTGGTAAAATAACTGTTTAAATTTGTTTACATTTCATGCAAAAACTACAACTTTCGAAAAATTGTACATATTTCATTAACAATAGATTTTATTATGCAAAATATCCCGAATATTCAAAATTCTAGTTGTAGGAAGGCGCCGCAAAAATTTTGTACTTTTGCAGTTTTCTAAAAAAAACAATAATTTGAAGGAATATGACACCTGCACCATTTTTAAAGAATTATTTATCCTATCCGAGGACAAATGTTAATAAAAACCTTTTTGAGAAAATTTTGCAAATATTATTTAGACTTCTTGTTAAGAACCCCCAAAAATCAAAATGTCCGTTTCAAAGTCGCAAAGTCTTGATTTCGAACAGATTGAGAAAAGCATCTGAAAGGTTGAAGTCCGTGCTTTGACCACGGCCAGGCAGACGATGTGCTGTCAATCGATTTTTTGGTGCCAAGGGCTCACAAAAAATAGTCTAGCTATACACTTTCTTCTTCTTCCTCTTTTTCTTCATTGTTCTTCATGTTATTCTCTATCATCTTAATCTCAGTCTTCATATTCTTCTTCTTTTCCTTCTTCTTTATTATTATTATTGTTATTATTATTAATATTATTTATTATTGTTGTTATTGTTACTATTATTATTTTTTAAGCTTCACGCCCGCAGCTCTCCTTTGAGGACTGGAGTCACTTTTAGCTTTCTGCCGTCATCCATTTGCTTGGCTTAAACATCTATTTCTGATTTCATCTTGAATGTTGTCAAGAACACTGCGAATCTGCAGAATTCCTCTTGTCACTTCATTTGTTATGTGATCTAATTTGAAACTTTCGCAAATCCTCTGAGAAATCGCATTTCGGCAAATTGTATAGTACATCTTGATCAGTTATGTTTGTCTTGACCTCTTGTTTTAAGTATATGTAATATATTATAAAAGATAATACCAATATAAATTTATTGATTTTCCCTAATGATCATAATACATATTTCTCTCCCGTACAACCCTCCTGGTATTGCGATAGATTTTTTAAGTTTGTTTTTAGTTTATTTTCTGGTTTTGTTCTTTAAAACCATTTTTATAGATTCACTCATTAGATTGATCTACCTTCCTATTCTATAAATATAGAGATCTCCGTGATATATTTGGCACTCCATAAAGATAAAGAAACTCATTCTTCAATTTTTCTTGCATTACAATCTTGCATCTTTGAGACAACTTTCCTGAAAATGGCATTGCCTTTGTTTTTTCTTCGTAAATTAATAGGTTAAACTCTTTAGAAAATTTGCACAGGTAAAATAGCCCTCTTTGCATTACATTTTCATTATTCGCATGGATAAGCTGGTTATACGCATACATTGGGCTCCTTATTGTGAAAAACGTATTATTTCTATTATTTTACTTTCTCGCTACGGAGTAGAGAGAAAGTTATGTAATGTGCGAAAAACGGCGAATATTAGGCTGAAAAATAGAGGGCCTGAATGAAATAGTGGATAAATAGTTGCTAAATTTAGAAAAAACCCTCTATTATGAAGTGTGGCCAGAATCCATGTTGCATGGGTCCTTGATATCGAAAAACGGCAACCGTGAGTCCGTCCGTCTGTGAACAATGCTAGAGACCATACCGTTCAGCCAATTTTCTCGAAAGTTGATATTTCGCAATCGATTTGTCTGATGTTGAGACCCCGTGAATTTGAAACCGATATTGTAGTTTTGATGGTTACTTTACACGAAGACCCTGGGACATTTTCAAAATTTTCAAAAAAAATTGCATCTTTTTTTATTAAATTTTGTCGCTGGATGGTGTGAAGAACGTTTAAGAGAATAGTGCAGATCCCATTTTCGTTCAAAACTGTGATTCTTTGAAAATTGCAAAAAAATCACGATTTTTTTGGCGTCTTTTTACAACTGAAATATTAAAGATATATTTTTTTCTGTAATAAAATATGTCCTTTATAGATATATTTTGAAATACGTTCATGAACAATGTTTTGAAAATACAATTACGTTGCACGTAATTGTGCGCGATAGTACGGGAGAGAAAATATGTAAGGTTTTGGTACCACTAGTTTTCTCTTTGTTCTTGTAACTGAAGAAGTTGAATTCCTTTTTTCTTTCTGGGACACGTATGTATATATGGAGAAATATACAAAGTAATGTAAAAAGTAATGTAATGCTGCAGAAATTCATTTCAAGTTTTGAACGGAAATACAGGTTTTGGGGTTCTCTGATACCCTAAAACTGTTGTTGTTGTTGTTTTTTTTTTCAAAACATCAATCCGTTTGTCGTGTGTCAACCACACTAGCGCGTAAACTAGGGGTAGATTTGTTTCCAAACTCCCTGTCGATCTGGCATTACTCAAAGATCTGTGATTCTGAAAAACCTTCATTAATTCTGAAGCCCCCCGGACACTTCAAAAATGTTCTTAAAAATTGCTGCAAATTTTGCCAGATTGGAGAAAAATAAAATTGACATAGGTCCGATTTTCCCTGTTAAATAGCAACTCGCCCTTACCTCTACTCTTACCATTACAAACAAAAGGAGAGTTCAACAAAACGCGCTTACTACGGGAAGCTACATTTACTATATATTTCCTGATTGGTCACTCACGTTTACGTACTTTATATGTATGTTCTCTGGTTATTGTCGTAATAATTTTACTAATTTATTTTTACCCCCACGGAATTTGCTCACGATTCTTTACGTTATTTCAATTTATCACAATATATACTATTTTCTGTTTTGCCCATGGTCGTTTACGTTCATATTCCTTTGTATTATTCTTTGACATGCTTCACTCCTTTGTTTATTTTCCTGTCCTTCACTATCGTCGTATTTACTTTTATCATGAATTATTCCGTTCACATTTGTTTTCCCTTGTGATAACCTAGCACAATATCACACTACCGCTTGTACTTACACAGTGATGCCAGTCGTCACAACGAAGAGGGCAGCACTGGCGTAGCCGGGTCCGCTGAAGCCGAAGAGGAAGGAGGATAAAGCGAAGCAGGTGATGACAAGGAAGGAAGTGACAGTCACTGGTTCGCGGATTTTGACCCGTTCTTTCCTAAGCAAAAAACACAGGATTAGTTGCACGCATACTTGTACCTGTATAACATCTATAGCTCACAGGTGATTCTCACAGAACTAAAATACACAATAAAGCCAGAAACAAAATTGGTGCATCGTCTGCTTTTGTACGTTGTGAGCGATTTGTACGTTTGTGAGCGCAAGCTTTATTTTCTAATTTATTTATTAATCAATTGATTAGTGGTTCCTGGGGCATCAACAGCTAAGATTCATAAGTTCCGTAAGTGGAGCGCATGGTTTTTGATAAGTTGGTAAGTGGAGCGCGGAGTTTTCCCCAACCAGATATCTCCCACCAGCGGGGCACCCCCACAGCCGAGAAAAGCTTTATGCTCCCGACCAGTCTCCCGGCATGTGTGGTAGTGTGGTGCATGATAGTGTAAGTGTGTGGGGTGAGGAGAGAACAATAAAGAGGAAGATGAGATCGCACGCGGTCTGTGGCCCGTTTGTTAGGGTTCTGCTATGGCATTGGACGATAGGCGAAAGACGTAGGTTAGCAAGATATAGGTCAGGTAATGAAATGAGAGCGAGTAAATACTGGATGAATAGTGAGGAAAAAATGTAGGACATGCGAGATAGAAGAGGAGGATCGGGAGCATATTATAGAGAGATGTGTGGTTTTTGAAGAAGGAAGAATGTGTGTAATTTTACTATTCTTACAGGCAATTCAAAGGGAAACTTTGGAGCCACATTTGAGAAAATTTTGAAGAAGTCCCTGAGGCTTCGTGAAAAGTATCGTCAATTTTTTTAAATTCAAAACCGTAGTGTTTTGAGTGAGGACAGATCGGTGTAGAAATATTGTTTTTTTACAAAAATCTGACGAATGTTTTCTGTCTTGTGTTAATAAACGGACGTTTTGAGAAAAGTGTGTATCAAGGAAGCATTAGGCTACCCTGTTTTCTGAACAGTGATGGTATTCTTATGTGGGTATTTTCTCTGATTGTCTCTTTAACGGTCGTAAAGTTTACAGATATATCGCGTCAACTTCCAGCTTACGTGTTTTAGGGTATCAGCAGATGCCTCTGCAACGCCTCTGACCGGCGGGTGCTAGGACGTGGCAGAATTTTCGACACTAGCTGCACAACTACATCAAATTCGAGCGTTCGGTTGCTCTGGTCGGCAGTTTTTCTTGATTACTCCAATCAACACCAGAGAAATGACTGAGCGGTACCCTAAAACCCGGTCATGGAACGCGCTCGATCTTTCTTTCCTCGTCCGTGACATTATCACCCCACAAATAATTGGAAGAAATAATTAGAAGAGAAAAAAAAACAATCTCATTACAACGTGACCGAGAAAATTATTTGCGGTAAAATGATTATATTTTAGTGTATAACCACAAATAAAATTATGCGTCATGTTGTAATGAGATTGTAGTTTATCTCTTAATGCAGTGTTACTTCAATACATATTATATCTCTCGTCTTATTATTCACGTTGTTATGGTGATCTCCGTATCGACGTTTACCTAATTAATGTTAATTATAAACCGGTCGTGTGGCGGTGTATACCGATGCCACAAACCTACCTGAAAGGCACATTTTATACGTATAGTTAAACACTATTGGTTTTAATTTCACCAGCGGAATAGTCAATGAAACACACTCTCTATGCACTTACGTGTATCTGCTGACGTCGCTTCCCCAGCTGAAGAATTGAGCTTTCCCTTTAGGCGTGTCGTCAAACCTTGGGAGTTTCGCATACACGTGGTCATTGAAATCAAACGGATTTTTTACAAATATAATGGCCACGTTGTATAACATTCTCCCGTATGTGTTCCTGCAAGCAAAACGAAAACAACTACTGTTTATTCTGGTTGCTAGAAATGTTTTCAGAAAATAGAGGGGGGAATAATTTTCAGAACCGGGGTGAGGGGGAAGGAAAAGGAGACATTCTGTGAAGAATAATAATAATTTGTTGAATAATTTTTTTAGTTATACTAATACCACAATTGTCTTCTTCCTTGTAATCTTTGAATAATGTTACAGTTCTCAATAATTTATAATTAAATTGACTAACATCACAATCATCTGTTTTACTGCAATTATTCCTTGGATAACATTCTTGGATTTGAAACCATTTTACTATTTAACTTAATAAATTAAATGTATTCAACAATATTTCTTAGTAGGCTGAACAACTTGCTTAGTTGACTGAGAATTTTTTTTTAATAATTATTTAACTTCTGTACGCATACAGAATGTTAATAAATGCACAGCTGGTTTTGAACTAACTCAATCTTCTTCTGTTGGTTCAAACATTTTTCATTACAATGAAAATTCTATTATTGGAGACCTGGTCTGATATACAATATTGAAATTATTTTTGTATTTTTCTCACTGAAAAAATGTTGCAGGAGATGACGAGCCCTCAAGTTTAAGATAGACTTCTTTCAATGTGTGACGTTTGTCGAACAAACCATAATGTGGGAGTTCATTTCACCACACAAACTCAAGGTTTGGAATTCTAATTTTTTTAATTGTACCACTTTTCTAAATGCTTGCTTTTCTAAATGCTGCAGAGAACTTTGTAATAAACAGCGAGCGATTCTTTTTAGAATTTTTGCACCCAATTTGTGAGCAAATATCACTTTAATTCAAAATATTTAATTCCATATTTATACAATGAACATAAAATCACCTATGCTTTACTTAATATGCAATATCTAAAAACAATATTTTATTTAAAACACAGCCAAGTGTTAAATTGCGCTTTACTCTGGCCTAAAACTATATTCATCTTTTACATACTAGTTCAAATTTCAAATAAAACTCTCTGAGTGCATTAGAGTCAGCACTCATCAGACGTTCGTTAAAGTAGTATATGCAAGAAAGGCATTATGAAACACCTTTAGCTTACGATTTAAGTAAAGTGCACTTGAATAGAGACATACGTGTTACGAGCAGTTACCCTAGTAAGATAACTACTGCAAGGACCTGCGCAATAGGCAGGATTGGCATCGGATTAAAGTCAACTCCAATACAAATTAAAATTTGCCGTAATAAACCCTCTAAGCTCTACTAACACCTGTTCACTAATACAATTGTTTTCTTCAGTGGATATTTTTTTTACATATTAACAATTTTTATTTTTTAATTAGTGAATCGGAAGTATAGAGAGTGAACATTTTACTCAATTAGTAAACAATGGGCAACCATATGGCAGCTGAATATGGTTCCATGTACCACAGATTACATATTAGACGTCTATAATTAAAGGGTACTATAACCCATACAATAGCTATTTTATTGTTTATGAGCTGATATAATCGTCGTTGAGAGAATCTACTTGATGTATAAAATAGCCGGTATATCTGTTATAAAATATGGATGACACGAAACAACAGCCACACTCCTTAATGTGTTAGCATTTAAGACTGCTGATCCCCCTCATTGAACGCAGCTCCACAGGTACGCTGTATATTCAGCTTGACTTCCGTTCTATAGTTATGTTCTCTCGTTTCCTCATAGGAAGGGTAAGATACATCGAAATACGCAAATGCAGGTTTTTCTAAGTGGTGAGGGGTTGCGCCAAGAGATGGCATTTGTATATATGATTCGTGAGCGTTGTGGTGTCGCGCTCCGGCCACCAGATGTCGTTGACTTCTCGGACTGGTACGAGAGTTGCGCCAAGAGATGGCGCGTTAGTAGGCGTGTAGGCGTGTTTTGTGAGCGTTGTGGTGTATCCCTCCATTACTTTTCGCCTGCTCACGAAACTTCAAATCCTAACCCTACTTTGCGGCGATTTTTGCAATCTTCCCATGCAGTTTGCCTTCCATATTCTGGGCGCCTGATGTTCCTATCATATATTGAGTACCAACACCTTTTGTAGGACCACTATGTAGTGTCTGCTGGCTTCTGCTTTCGGAAAATGAGTAAAACAACAGAAAGTCGTTTTTGTTGAAATGACCACATTAATCGTGTAGTTGATAGTAACTATTTACAAAATGAGATAATAAAGATGGTTATAATTGCACGAGTGTTCCTATGTTCAAGAAAACTTACGATGACTGGTGCGAGTTTTCATATTTACCATGAGTATAATTATTGCTGCTTTATCAACGTAATATGATCAATATGTTTTGTTTCCGTTTAAGAATAATTTAAATTTTTAACAATTCAAGCATATCTGTACCATTCAAGGCATATTTTTGATGACGTCATATTGTTTCTGAACAAGACCTATTTTAGTAGCCATCCATTGTGTACTTATGATTAGCATAGTCACTAAGAACAGAGGTTTTCAAACTGATTTCAAACTTGGGAGTTTCCTGGAACGTTGTCAGGGGTCCCGCAAATGATCACTATTTGTTGAACTCACACACACGTAAAATGGAAATCATCTATTAAGGAATTTTCATGAAGGAATAAGATAGTTGAGTGTCTTGATAAAATATTAGATTAATAAAACAATCAAGTAAAAAGTTCAATGTTTGTATAAATTAGATTTAAGAAGGGAACTGATAAAAGGTGAAAATGTTATAGTACCAAATTGCAAGGATATTGAATCAAAGTGCGACCACCGGGTGTAAAAGCACAAAAAAGGCAATGTGCTGCCGTTAACACAGTTCTTAAAGTCCAAAACTATTGCATGATATGAAAAGATCTTATCTCATGGGGCAATGTCTTCTAAAAAGGAATCCGATTGTGAATGTGATGAATAAAGAAAATATTTATTTTCAGAATGTGGCTAACTACTTAAAATAATGTCTTCCATCCAAATCCTACATCACCTTTCATCAAACTTCTCCTCAAAATTCATTTGAATTCATTCATTAAAAATATTTTGACCTCCAGTCCATGGAATAACTGCGTATAATATAACCATTTTAATTCAATATATTCATAACTATCCTGAATATTTACACAAACCCCGTTTAATTTATGTATTTAATTATTATAAACAAATGTAAAAAGCATTTTATACTAACGTGAATATTACATACTTATTAAAAAATTGACATCAGATTTCTCCTATAGAGCGTATATCTCCTTTCGCTGTTCTTGTATCTAGCTCCTCAATTGCATTAATTGCACCAAGGTGGTAGACTTCTTGATCCTCTCGTCCCTTCGCATTTCTGAAGGTGGCTTTACACTTGCACGAAAATGGCGAGCAATATTATTTCGCAAGAAAAGTTGGCAATGTAAACATTGCGGTAATAAATATTTCTGATGTTGGCAATATTTCTTGCTAGATATTCCGGTCGTAATGTTAACTCATGAGTTTCCATCCTCGGAAAGATATTGCCGGATGTTGCTGGGACTAGAATTGGATTGAAATCTGAGCAAGATATTGCTGAAAGGAGCCAATTATGACCACGGTCTCAAGCGCAGGAAGTACGTACGGTTGTATATAGACGTAATATTTCCATTTTAATATGCATTTTTTCGTAAAATGGGTGTGTGAAGGTTTACGGCAATAAAAGAAGTAGTAATAAATATTCCCTCTATGGTTGATTATCAAAGGTTCAAACTTTGATTCAGCCATAGATGCACCCTGATTATTAATTTTTACGTTAAAAACTACTGAGTTATTAATCTAATCTAAATCAATTTTGAGATTACTCTATCAGTAGTAGGAAATAGATATTTTAAAACTTTTTGTCGAATTAGTAATTGCACTTTTTATTAAAAGAAAATTACTTTTCTTCCACGGGAATCGAAATCCACGAAATCATTTTCTTCTATGAAAAATATTCAGACACTTCTACCTAATTCGCACAAACGTGATTTTCCGTTCTTCTTAAAATTCATTCACACGTTCTCACAAATCGTCGGCGTAACTTCATCTCATTTAGCACTATAAGTGCGACCGCAACTCGTATCTTCTGCCTTTCACTAGTTATAACCTCAATTTCATTTTCCTCGCGCCATCACAAAACACGGCAACAAATAGTCCTAATGGAAAATGATCGGCAATATTTTGCCGGAAAGATTTTGCTCAGATCTTTCTGGCAATATATTGCCCCTCTAAGGTTCATCTTCGTATCAGTAATATTCCAGTGTTTACCGCCCCCCCCCTACTCAGATAAAATACCCACGAATCCCACACTCACCTGTTGTAATAAGGGTGAACGACAATGCGACTCACCAGACGCCTCTGCCTCCCAAAGAGTCCGCCCAGCACGTGGGTTCCTGCAACAATCTATCCCTGGTCTCAGAATCACCACCAGGTAACTGTGGCTTCCGAACATAAACGGAATACAACCGACCTAATAGAAATATCTAAGCTACATTTTGTTTAATTTTCTATTTCATTGTAGTTCATTCAATTTTTTCAATTTTATTTTATTAACAGCCTTTTGTATAGTAATAGAAAGTACCCACTGGGGATAGTTTGTAACTGCTGTCTGTTGTCAAATCTAACGCCTAAACCAATCAGCAAATGGTGCTATAATACCACCACTACTTTAAGACGAGTTCAATTGTATTTCGTTTTAATTTGTATTATCGTTTTGAGTCCTCTACACAGTCCCCCAAACGTACGGTAATGAGTGTTTCTTACGATCGTCATAGGTGGCTTAGGGCATCAAGTGATGTCATTTGCAGTTGCCCCACCGGCAGTTCAGAGGTTTGAAACCCGGACAATGGCAAAGATTTCAACACTAGGCCAGAGAGCTATGTTGTTTTTTCTATGTTTTTTCCTATGCAATATATATATTATATATATATATATATATATATATATATATATATATATATATATATTTAAAACAGTAAACTTCGACACCATGTGACCGATCTCTCGAAAGTTGGCCCATCTGCTTTTTTTTAACCGAAATGGTGTATTTACTGTTAATTTTGTTGCGACTCCAATAAATAGGGCGGCAGAACAAACTTGCGCTGAGAGAGACGGCGCGCGTGAGAGACCAGAGTGAGAGAGGCAGAAAGTGACAGAGTGATACAGAGAGACAGAGACACAGATAGAGAGACAGAGACACAGATAGAGAGACGGGGACAGACGAGCGGAGCGAGGGAGGCTGGCAGACAAAGGCAAAGGTAGACAGAGGCAGACGTAGACAGAGATGCAGAGACAGCGATAGAAACAAACTGAAAGACACAGAGAAAGATTACAGAGAAACAGATATGGAGATAAAGATAAAGCGCCATACACGGCGACGTTTTATTTTTCACAAGGATTGAATATGAAAAACCCGGACAAAGTCCTGTATTTTGCTAGTTGCTTATAAGCCAATTCAAGGCCATTAGCTGCCAGGAGAGGGGGACACTGTCGTCCAATCGCAAGCTTCGTAACGACTTAAATGTTTGGTATTGAATTTTCTGACTGAATGACAGTATCCCCGTCTATTTTGAGCTCGTGGTTTAATCGAAGAACACTTATTTTAGAATGTTAACTCGGTCGCAATACCGGACGTGTAATGCTATCTCACAGTTCAGGATCAGGACGACGGGAGTTGGATCCTTTTCACCATTTATCGGAGAGAGAAGGTATCACTCGGGCGGTGAAATGGGCGATTTCAATTTCGCTCAGATGATTCCTAGAGGCTTGATAATTTTTACATGCAGTAAATGTACAACTTGGGACCGCGCATACCCTGCGTGGCTACCGCTCCACACAATACTCATGTTCTACCAAGGGTCCCCACGGCTTTTCCCTTTTATCCGCACACGTACGACGACAGACTGGATCGTATCCGGATCGAACCTAGGACCTCCCGGTCAGAAGCACTGTGGTGATATCACTTGACACCCTGAGCCACACTCCCGGTATTGCACTGGTTTCATTAAAGACTAATTCTCCTTACTTGGTAGTGAAACGTGGGCAGTTGAAGGGCACAATGAGCCGAAGTAAGAACAGTATCTTCAGTCAGGAGGGCTCCTCCACATAAGTGATCTCCAGGTTGGTCTTGATTATTCTTATCCCCTATGTCCCGTTTTTGAATAGATACTAGGAACGGAGGTGCTTCTGCAAACAAATTTTTTTTCGCAAGTAAACAAATAACTCCAGCAAGCTTAGAAACAGTGGTAGGCCGAAGCTTAAAATACTCTTAGTATCTTTGCATTTGGAAAGCAGGAATCACAAATTGGTTTAATTACATGAAAACTCTTTATGAGGATGTGTCGTGAACGCCTAATTAGTCGATGTCAAACTAATTTCTATTACACTAGACATCTCTTTTCTTGGCATGAAATGTCAAGCTCCTCCTCTCATTATATATAATTCAACTACGTATAGTCAAAAAAGTGATTGTACTAGTTTGGGGCGATGTATACCATCACCTCGGTTATCGATATATCTAGTGCAGTTTAAAATTCAACCAGTAAAAGCTCTCTGAAGGGTTTTTTTAGAAATGAGTTTAATAAGAAGAGAGAGCATTATGGGACAATGTTGCAATTATGCTGTGCTAGTCGATACCGAACTGTTTTACTTTCTATTCAACGGGAGCAATATTTTTCTTGATAACATATATTGCTCTCTTCATGCACTGCCCACAGTTATATTTTTTTTCAATATAAAAAAATAAATCAGTAAAAGTAGTAAATAAGTAAGTAAATAAAGAAATAAGTTAATAAATTAATAAGTAAGGGTAAATAAATAAATAAGCAAAAGAGTAAATAAATAAGTAAAAGAGTAAATAAATAAATAAGTAAATAAACTCACTGGGTACATCCCCTTCGCTTGATGGAATCGTGTTGGCTTCCATGGAAGCAGCTGCTTGAAGAGGTAGGTAGTGTGGCAGCAAGTTGACTAGTCCTACCCCTGCAACACATCTGTTAGTAGAAATCTTCCCCAAAACGCATCAGAAATCTTCACATGTTACTTAGTATGACAACGCTGATTCAGGACGTACAAATCTCTTGTCCACTGGCTTCAAGTACTATTTCACATTTCAACAACAAATATGAATGCAACAAATGTTGGAGCCTTCAAGAGAATAGTTTCAATTACATTTGAGTGTGATGATTAGATCACGGAACTTCATTAAAAAAGTTTAAAAAAGCACGCAACTATGAACTTAAATTTGGAAATATTCCGTACGCACTTAAAATAGACAATTTTTGCGCTCATGACTAAGAATATGCCTTAAACAAAAATGTAGTTGGCGACAGTTAACGTTTATTTGTAGATAATATTCATTTTACACTGTAGTACAAAGCACACTCAATAAAATCTATTTCCAAACATTATAATAATACTAGTGGTTCTAAAACAGCACATACTTTCTCGTGTTATTGTAAACAGCAGCGTAATATTGAAGTATTGCATTTTCTGCGCAACTAAAACGTCAGCCACAGGTACTTGATAAAGTCCAATTCAAACAAAGCGCCTAGGATGTTTATCTGCATTCGGTTTGATAGACAGGAGCAGCAATAAATTATGTGCATTCGCTTGACGAATAAATCAATTCGTTGCACAAACGCTTATTTCTGTATTAAAATTACAACTATTTTATCGGTCACTTATATTACATCATACACAGTTGATAAATAACTATAACACTAAGGAAGTAATTTTTGAATATTCTGATAATCAACAAAAATTTCGAATATTGTACGATTTGTATCACAAGTTAATTTTTTACCGCCTCTTTATATATTATTGACACCGAAATTCATCCAAAGCGTAAGTACTAGCTTATAACTTCACATAGCGTGTAATTGTAGCACCACATTCTCATTGCTAGACCGCGGAACTTCATGCAACTGCATATTTTTATTGATTGGCATGTCGGAAGGAAATATATATAATTTGACGTACCACCAAAAAATAAAACAAAGGTAGCCCATTTTTATTTTGCGTAATTGCATATTTTTTCATTAATTGCATTTTTTTGTTTTGTAGCATATTTAAGAGCAAACTGTATTCCAGGTTTTTCTAGGTTCTAGATGTTCCCCGAAACCTAGCAATTTTTATTTCTTTTATTTCAAATAGGTTTTAAATAATTTCTAAAAGACTAATAAGAAGATTACATAATATACAAATTTTTACTTAAGCATCCAAATGTGTGAAATCGTTCCCGAAGCACCGTCAATTCGCAGCGGGCATTTAGTTTTGTCTCCACTTTACACAGAAATACTAATATTATCAAAACATTTAACTTGAACTTATTAAAGATATGCTTCTTAAGCACACATTTCGTTAAGAAACTAGTGGTGTTACAGAATAACACAGACTTTCTCGTATAAGTTTTCTATTTCCTTTGGTCTCGGCTAGTTATTCGGACTTGCCACATACTGTTGCCAGCTGTCATCTATCGCCGCTTAAAGTACATTTATATTTTTTCGGCTTTCTAATAGTAGAATGGAAAAATTATTTTAAAAATATTAAAAAACAGTAAAACTTCGTCCTAAATGGCAGTTTTCACTGAAAAAGTTTGGAACCGTTGTTGAGGCTACGAAATACTGCATAGATTATTGGAAGAGCATTTGCAGAAATTGCGATGAGAGACGTTCTGTGCATCGCCTCGCTGTGTTCTCGTCAGAGGAGAAAATTCCGGAAAGAAAATGCATTTTGACGTGATTACCCTTTGCCATAGGAATAATTTAGTATTGAAGGGATTATCGTGGTTACCTTTGAATGAAAAAAAATTCTCCTTACGAATTCTTCATTCATGTTTTCTGCTTCTTACCGTGTCTCAGAACGTGGGTCACGGAGGCTACATGAATGCTTGCTGACAAACGTACCAACCAACTTCGAATGCGCACAATTGCTTACCTTATCTACACGATTGCTGCAAAACAGCTCGCGGCTCTAGATTTTCAAACAATGCGACCTCGTCGCGTCTTATGTGGAAAACATTGGATTCTGAGAAAATGCCTTTAATGTGCAGAATGTTTGTCGCCAGCCGTCCAGGAGGGGGTGAGATCTACCGTCTACTTTTGGATGCAGTTGAAGCATCCAAAGAGCTTCATATAAAATGAAGTTCTTGCAACTTGTGAAAAAATTCGCGGGGTTTTTGTTCAAAATTAAACTCGAACACGCCAAGTTTGAAATGATTTATCTTTTCTCCTTAAATACCTTCTAAGAGTCGCCAGACTGATTGTTGTTCAAGCGTGGTGCCAACTTTGAATTAAATTTGGCCACCTATGAGACAAAAGTTTTTAAGATAATAGCATTTAAGCGCTACTATAAATTCAAAATTTAAACGTCCTTTCACAAAAAAATTTTGAGTTTTTGAAAAACTTAATTTGAAGCTATTTGAAGCACTTTAACTCACTAA